TAAAAAAGTTACTATCCTCAATCAAATATAAATCCGAATGTGATCCAACTTTGTCATCGAAGTATCCTCGCATGGTAGGATCATCGATCGTATTTCAATACTTTTCGATTCCTATATTTCAATGTTATCATTGTTTCAAAATTTGATATAGAACAGGTAACGCACCTGTATAAAGCGAACATTTCCTATAATAGAAATTCGATAAAAGTATCACTATATTAATATATATAAAATCGCTTTATAGAAGACTCCTATCTAATGGAAAAAATTAATTGGATTGAATTCCAAATGTTTTATTATTATTATTATTATTATTATTATTATTATTATTATTATTATTATTATTATTATTATTATTTTTAATGATTTTATTTCTTTATGTGTACTTTTCTTAATTAAAAAAACTGACGTGAAAAATAAAAATGTATTTTTTTCTGATTCAACTAATTTGTATATAAATATAAAATATAAAAAAAATATAATAAATAATAAATAAATATAATATAAAATGATATATACATATATATAAGATTTTAAAAATTACAAATAAATTTCATTGCAGATAACGTATAAGTATGTTTTGTGAAAATAAAATATAATGAAATGCATATTTCATGTATTATGTGTTTTAAATAATATACAAAATTAAATAATATAAAAGAAATAAAAAAACAAAATCGAAAAATTTCATTAATCAAGATCACTTTTTGTCGAAATCGCATTGTTCAAATATCTGCGTTACACGAGGATTACCTGTAATTGCATTTAAAAAGAATAATCTGTACTGATGATCGCGCGAAGAAAAATAAAGAAAATTAATATTAATTGTTGTTTTGAATTTGTGATCTCTCTCTCTCTCTCTCTCTCTCTCTCTCTCTCTCTCTCTCTCTCTCTCTCTCTCTCTCTCTCTCCCTCTCTTGCTCACACACACGTGATAATTAAGCTTCACTTCCTCGTTAATTTAATACAAGATTTCTCTTCTCATAATTCCTCGTTTATCTCTCTCGTGCATAATATTCTTATCAGGAAGATTAAAAAAAAAAAAAAGAAAAAAAAAAAGAAAAAAAAAAAAAAAGCAAAAAAAAAAGGAAAAAAAAAAAGGAAATCGAAGGAATTCGTCTTATCTATCATCACCTTGTCTTCCCACAGGATTTCCTCAAACGCTTTCGTTTCTTCCCTATCCAACTTGTAATAATATTTTTCACGATCTTTGAGAATTTGAAGTCCTTCGGGAGACTATGTTCCATTAGGCTTGAACAGTGATATATAATCGGAAGTATGTACTATTACCAACAAGTTCCATAAAAAACGTATCACCATTACTACCCTCATCATCACCACCACCATCATCATCATTGCCATAATAACTAACATCACCATTGTTATCGTTGTCGTTATTATTTTTGATGTTACTTGTCATTTGAGACGTCGATATCGTCGACATGTTTTTTTTTTCTTTTTTTAAGGATTTCAATATTAGATGAATCGATTCAACGAGGAAGGAAAAAAAAGGAGAAGAAGGAGAAAAAAGGAAAAGAAGGAGAAGAAGAAGGAATAACTTTTCGGGATAATCAAGCAACAGCCTAATTAAAAAATATACAATTAAATATGATGAATTCGAGCGCATATTTTAAGATACCGTCGGATTGTTTTTGATAAACAATTTTTAATACGTACGATACATACGTATCGACTTTTCTCTTTTTATTTTTTTAACAAATGATTTGTCACTGAATGAATTAAAGTGTATTTAATTAGATTTGATTAAAATAGAAGGCAGAGATTTTTTTCTATTTGTTATGTAAAAAATTTCTACATAGATATATATATATATATATATATATATATATATATGTATATATACAGATATTATGAATTGTTTATTTTATAATTAATTAATATGTCATCAATCGTCCTATAATATTTTTTTAAATATTTTTATTAAAACAACAACAACAACAACAACAACACAACAACAACGACGAAGTTTTAGATCTAATATTTTTTTCTCCCTCTTTTCTGATAATATTAATCATACTTATACGAAATAATTGATAAATTCTATTTTACGAAGATTTTTAATCTCCGATCTCGATTTTAACCACTTGCGGTGAAAGGACGTGTCACGCACGTCGAGATGCTTCTGTCACCAGAACGCCAGCGACGTATTACATACGTCGTCAGGCGATTGTTGCAGAAAGAAAAATGACGTGCATGGCACGTCAACCGTGAATTTCTTTGCACCGCAACAGTGGTTAATCAACAATTTTTATAATCGTTGCTTCGTATGTACTTATTTTACGAACTTTTTTTTTTTTTTTTTTAAATATAAGATGTGAAAAAAGAAAAACGAAACAACGAACAATCGAATTTTCGATCCTCGATATCGATCTTTTTTTTTCTTTAATCTTTTCGTGTCTCTGCTGTAACTCGAGATGTACGAGTTCAAGGTCGGACGAAGAAGAAGAAGAAGAAGAAGGAAACAAACAAAAAAAATAAAGAAAGAAAGAGAAGATCTTCGTGATTTCCTTTCTTTTGTTCCTTCTCTCATACTTCTGAATAAATTTTACAGAAGCATACCGCGACAGGTGTACCAAAACGAGATTGGAAATTTTTCAATATGTTCATGATAAAGAACAACAAGAGAATGTGATTACTTCTCACGTATATTTGACAATGTCATGCAACAGTCACATGTCACATCACAGTTGGGAATCGTGAATGATTGAACTATACGTCGAGCGTTGTATGTAATTTTCTCTCTCCCCCCATCCCCCTCTCTTTATTTCCAATTCGTTATTTGTAAATTTTTCCATTCGAAGTTTAATTTATGACAAAATGAGAGCTCAAATGCTTATAACATCAAAGATACATACATACATATATACATACATACATACATATATATATATATATATATACATATGTACATATATACATACATATATGTATGGATAAAAATTGAGGAAAAAAAAAAGAACTTTCAGAAAGACAGATATAACACTGTCTCGTCACGTTAGCTTAACGCAGTGCAAGTAACAATTACACGGTCAGCTGAGCAGAGATTACACGTACATAATTGTACAGATAAATCGAAAACATTTATTATTAACTGAACATCTTCAACCTGTCTCTTCCTGTAGTTTTATTACAGAAAGGTTTTTTAGTCCAAATAACAATTCTTTGTTTTTTCTTTCTTTTTTTCTTTTTTTTTTTTTTTGTTTGTTTGTGAAATCAAACTCACATTCGACGCTTCGCGAAATTCAATTTCACCATTTTATGCAAATCAAGATTTCCTGAAAAATTCTTATTCTGTATTATCGCTTATCGATTTGTGAGATAAAAGATAACAACAACAAAAAAAATATATATACATATATATAAAAAGAAAAAGATAAAATATGCATTAAAAAATAAAATCTCAAAAAGGAAAAAAGAAACCACAACTTAACAAAATTATCGAAAATCTAATGAAAATCTACACAGATTTATATAGATTTTGCACTTCAGATTCAATCTTTTACAAATTACAATCGATTGTTTGCAATGAATGAATGACTGATAAAAAAAAAAAAAAAAAAAAAAAAAGTATTTAAACAAAATTTGCTCCTTTATAAATTGTTTTCATATAATTATGAATTATGATGATGAATTCTTAATTACTTATTAAATAAGTATTTTCCCTTTATACTTGTGCCTATGTATTATAAAATTTGTAAATTATTAACAACAAATTTACATTTGATTATAATATTTATTATAAAAGAACTTATAGAAAAAGAAATTCTTGAGAAAAATTCAATTTGCTATACATTACTAATAGCATATATATATATAACGAATATATAACGAATTGATAATTACTATTACAAAATAATTCTTTTATATACATCTTTCTATTGCGTACAATGAAATTTGAAATTTTCTTTATATAAAACAATAAATTTACATTCGATTTTATTTGTATTAATTACAATATAAAAGAGAAATTAAAATTCTCTATGGAAAAATCGATGATTTTGCAAAAAAAAATCTATCGATTCAATTTGAAAAATGACGAATGATTCGATTTGCACAAAATCGAATATCAAATAAAGAATTATTTATAAAGAAACTATCATTGTCATTCTATCGATCGTTCATCGAAATACAATACCTTTATCCCATAACCATGGATAATTAACATTTGAAGGATTAACAAATGAATATGTTTATATTATATATATATATATATATATATATATATATATATATATATATATTGTTGAACAATAGTAATTTTTTTTATAATCGACGATTATGTCCCTACCTCTGTTTAGTAGCAGAGTACGAATAACTCTGATGTAGATCTTCCCGTGTTTCGTCCTTGCTATATGAAATAGAAAATCCGATAGATCCCCGTCGCCCTCGTGTATATCAGTTTCAGCTAAAATTTCTCTCAAAGCTTCAACACGTTCCTCAGGTGTACTTTCATCAGGTGGTCCAAGTTTTCTTTCGAGATAATCAACGACACCAATGTCTTCCCACAAATCATCTCTATTCATCTTCGCCTTTCTTTCAATATCCTCGTCTCCTTCTCCTCCGCCACCTCCTGTTCCTTCTCTTGTCTCTCGATAACTACTCGTCGCATGATCAACGAGATCACGAGAGGACACGTCCAATCCCGCGTAAGAAACGTCCAATGCGAGACTTTCGAAAGTCGATTCGGTGATCGATGATGAGGCGTACCATCCTGATCCACCGCCATCTTGATCTGGATGTATCGGTAAAAGCGCTTGATCTTCAGATTCCCTTAAACTCGGGTCGTTCATGTCCTCATGACCCGATTTATTCGTCGATCGGGGTTTTCGATTGATCTCCTCTTCTCTTATTTTATTTTTTTTTTCAATTCTTTTTTTTTTTGCTTGTTTATTTCTCTTTTCCCTTTCTTTTCTTTTTCTTCCTTTTGATCAACCACACAACTCTTCCAATTATTATTATTACTATTGTTGATGTTGTTGTTGTTATTTTCCTTTCTTTTCTTTTGTCGTTCACGTTAACTTACACATTTTTATATATACGCTTTATAATAAATTAATTGTACGATTTCAAGGAGGAATTTCTTTTTTTTTTTTTTGTCACTCCACAGTTACTACAGGTACATTTTTACTTTATATTATCGGACGTGATCATAAGAATCAACAGTTTTAACGCGAGCTATCCAATTGCAAATTGTGATTCTATTTAGTTTTATAAGATTTCTCGACTATGTGCGTCAATTAACAACATATCTCCCGTACGTATTCCTATTTCCCCAACCAAAAAAAGAAAAATAAAAGGAAAAGAAAAAGAAAAAGAAAATTATAGTTACAATCTAGTTTATCCAATTTAACTTGATCTAAAGATTATCACAAAACCGGTGTCAGCGAACCTGCTGAGCTTAGTGAACACATTGACTAGGTTCGCTGAACTCTATCGAGGATCGAGAATTCGAAAAAGAGTAAATCGATTGAGCGAGATACGTACGATAACGGAGTTAAAGTAAAAACATCGGCATATCGATGCGAACGAATTCAATGAAACGAGAGATTCCTTTGTTGAGATTTTTGCATGCAAATGTAAGAAGAAAAAAAATAAAAAAGATGGCAAGTACAATACCAATGGCTTATTTTTATTAATCATATTATTTAATCAATCACGTGGAAAGATTTCGTAAATCGATTTTTATATTTATTCATTCATTCATTCATTTATCTATTTATTTATTTATTTATTTATTCAATTAATTTATTATTAATAAATTTATGTCACTATGTACAAATATACATAGCTGAGTAAAATATTTAAAAGAATAAAATGAATAGAAAATTTTGAAGAATATAAAAATACTTTTAAAGACATATATATATATATATGTTACATAAATTTTTTATGTATATTCTTATTAAAAATTCAACTATGAGTTACGATTTACAGAAAAAATTTTTAAATATAGGAATACATTTATCCTAGAAAAATTTTTATTTAAAATCGAATAACGAAATTTCGATTTGTCGATTTCCTTTCCCAAATATATATTTTGAATAAGAAAAATTGAAAAAATATATGAATATATACTTTACTTATAAAAAGTCTTAAGTACTTGATTTATTATGGATACACGAACTTAAAGAAAAGTATTTCCTACGAAAGTTTATCGACTACAAACGTGAGTTATGAACATTCATTCGTTTCTTTTCTTTTCATTTCCAAGATATTTCCGATAGCAAATTTTCAGGGGAAAAAAAAAAAAAAAAAAAAAAATTAACATCCTTCGGATATAAATTTTTATTCAAAATAATGTTATGAATTTTTCGAACAAGTCGATATTAATTGAACGTTCATCAAATTGGACGTAATTGGAACGACCACACACACACACACACACACACACACATCTATCTCATTTTTTTTCTCAAAGGTACGATTTTCAACAGGAGCATTGAAAGCAATCGATCTTCTCCTTTCCATTGGAAGTTGGATTGCTTTCGCTCTTCCGATGTGATCCATTTATCGAGACCATTTTTGGCTACGATACCCATCTTCATGCACGAACTCATTGAAGAAAATTAGGGGGGGCTTGATCGGAGAAAGGGACCCTCACGAAAATGTTGCAGTAAAAGAGAGAAAGAGAAAGAGAAAGAGAGAGAGAGAAAGAGAGAAAGAGAGAAAGAGAGAAAGAGAGAGAGAAAGAGAGAGATTAATGATTCAGCTTTCGAAACGGATGCATTCTTGATTGGGACTTTTATAAAAGTAACATCGGAATAATTCGAACTTTCTATCACAAAGGTACGAGTACTTTCACAAAGATATATCATTTTTTTATTTCTATCTTCCGTCAACCCTTTAATACGCGTCATTTATCTTTTTTTTTTTTTTCTTTTTTTTCTCTCTCCTTTTCTCTTTTTTTCATTGTATTTAAAGAAAAGAATTCTCTCGACAAAAATATTATTTCAAAATATTATCGTCGGAGAAGAAATATTATAACGAGAATAATAATTTTATTATTTTGCGATGTTCAATGAAAAAAAAATCCATTTTTTGAAAGATACATAAAATTGCGCCATTATAACGTGAATTGTAAACATTAATATCTTGTGAATTATTTAATTGGAAATAATAGAATAATAAAATTGTTAAGATTTTGATTCTTTTTTTTTCTCTCTCTTTTTTTGCTTTTTTACTAAAGAATTTATAAAAAACTAAATTGCTTATAAAATATTAAATTATTGCGCGTGAATACGTAAAGCAGAACATAGGAAAAAAAAAAAAAAAACGAAATATTTCGTTGCACGTACCATAAATATGAAATATCGCAATATTAATGAATACTTTTATGAGATCAAATTGTCCATATTAAAGAATTTAATATCACTTTAATAACAAAAATTGTCAATACATTAAAAAAAAAAAAAATAGAAAAAAATAAAGATAAAGATAAAGAGAGGGGGAGGAGAAGAGGGCGAGGCGCGATCGATTATCGTCTACAAATTCGAATAAACTCGATAAATTAACCAAATGGACGTGTACTAGATTAACACAGTGCAAAGTTATTTTAGCTGTTACTAATATGCAAGGTAACACATGTCTCGCGATATTTAATGAGTTAAGAACGATTATTATTATTATTATACAGGATGTTTCATTTTACTTGACGAATCGAATATAGAAAATACACTATAATCGGATATAAATTTTCTTTACGATTATGTGAAAGCCATCGCGTGTAAATCAAATGAATACAATTATAAAAACGTACGAATAAAAATAAATAAATAAATAAATGAAGAAAGAAATAGAAAAAAGAAACAATGTTTTTTTTAATAAATTCATTGGTCAGACATTCACAAAAAAAAAAAAAAAAAAAAGAATGACAACATTATTGCGACTATACGATTCTGTTAAATTTCAAGATGCCATTCGCATCGACATTCTTTACATCTTCCATTAGCCTTGAAATATTGATTTCTATTTGAAAAAAAAAAAAAAAAAAAAGAATGGTAATAACATTTCCATGTCTAAACGGAAATAACTGTAATAACATATTACATTTTATCTACAAAACCACTTTCAAAATCTTGAAAGCCATTGATATTTGAAGCCATTTTCTTTATATGACTAATACGATCGGAAAATATTTAGTAATATCGTTTAAAATAAGAGACCGTGTATAGATCATAACGATTAAAAATTTTCTGCAAATTTTCTTTGATCTTTTCAATCGTTTGTACTTCTCTCTTTCTCTCTCTCTCTATTTCTTTTAATTTTTATTAGAATCACATGTCGATAGTTGAATCATCGATTATCAATCGATGAGCAATTCGTTCTATGAAGAAAACAACGAACGTACGTACAACACAACAATAATGTATCTACAATAAAAAAAAAGAAGAAAAAAAAAAAATATTTCTTCAATCCTTCCATAAAGCTATTACGAGAATACATTCATCGAAAAAATTATGATATATTTAGTAATTAATGACCTCGTGTAAATATGATAGCGTTAGATAATATTTATCTGATAATATTGAACTTGAAACGATAAGCAAGTTATCGAGTTAATGAATTAAAAAGAAAAGGAAAAAAAAAAAGAAAAAAAAAATTATTCTTAATGAAGAAAAAATGTAAGAAGTTCATTTGTCATTTCCTGAATCAATCAGAATAAAACAATTTATCTGTCGAGCTAATACAGTCCGATCGATTTATCGAATACATTTTTTTTCTATATTTAAAAAAAAAAAAAAAAAAAGAAAAAATTTAATATTATATATAAAATATATTAATGTACTTATTCGTTAAAAGCATCGTAAAAGTAATCAAACGAATTGCATAATGAAATTCTTCGCATCTTATAAACACGTGATCAAATACACCGTCTCGAAAGCAAAGAGTTGTAGAGATACGTGCTCGTAACAAAGTTACACAAAGAAAGTTAATCATAGTCGACATTAACGTCGACGACGTCGTCATCGTCATCATCATAGTTGTCGTCATCGTTGCTCCGTCGACGAGTGAAATTTTCTTAAATTTGCATAAAAATGATTTCCTTCCTCGCTCGCTATAGGTTGTGGCTGAAGTGTTGATATAATTATATGCAACATACGGTCCCTATATACAGGGTGTCTCAAAAGGTTTGACCCACATTTCAGGAGCGTATCAACTGGAGCGGGACGGAGAGGTGTGTGCTCGCAAAAAATTTTACCCTACTTCATTTGGCTACGCTGATAAAATTTTACCAATAAAAAAAAAAAAAAAAAAAAAAAAAAAAAAAGAAAAGAGGAAAAAAGAAAAAAAAGAGGAAAAAAGAAAAAAGAAATAAAAGAAAAAAAAAAGACGGCAATTTAATTAGGATAAGAAAGAAATGACGAAATATTTATTCAATTTCTTCAAAAAGAATTTCTTCAATTTTCGTTTGTTCTTTTTTTTTCTTTTTTTTTGTGGAAAAATACAAAAAAATTTATCTCGATCGATGGCCATTTCTGCCATATGAACTCTTTTCGCATCTAATCTCACGAATAACTTGTTGACCTTGGAATCGTTTTATTGTGTCACGCACTCTGACTGTACTAACTTTAGGATTTTGATAAAGGAAATTGATATATATATACTGATAGATACATATATAGATACATATGTAGATGTACGATACGTGTGTATATATATATATATTATATATACATATACACACATACACATATATATGCCTCTAAATATAATTCATATCGTTTATATTATTACATTAATGCTAATTATATTAATATAATATCAAATTATATATATATATATTTTTTAATATCATTATTGTTTAGAATAGAATTATTTAGAAATGTTTATAACAAACAAAAAATTATATAATATACATGATAATAATGTTTATTATTTTAATATAATATTAATATTATATAATTATTAATATTTTATATATAATAATAATTATATATACATATATAATATTTTGTTTAGATGTTACTCCTTTTAAATCTAACATTACATATATTTCATAACGCATAGTGAAATAAATCTAGAGAAAATTTCGAAAAATGCTATATGAACGGTATATATGAAAAAAAAAAAAGAAAAAAAAAAAAAAAAAGAGAAAAAAAAATCACATTAAGGCGATTGCATGAATTTTCCACTTTACGTAAGTCTTATCTTATATTCTCAAAGAGATGCTACCGGTTATTAGACATGATCGAGCGCGGTTCACTGACTTCATCATTATACTTGCTAAATTATTCAGTGTATATGAGAAAGATATGTTGTCTGAGAACTCTGCCAAACTCATATAAAAAGATACGACCAATTATTTTAATTAAAAATCATGAAAGAACTACAAGAAGCAAGCCTCTTTGTGCATATATATATATATATATATATATATATATATGATATATTAATTAAATAATATTACATTACTATTAGTCATGAGAAACAAATAACAATGAACTGTTCGTTTCCCATTCGATTTTAAGATATAAAAGACTGTTACATAAACGAATGTAATATATATACATATATATATATATATATATATATATATATATATATATTCGTACAACTTTTAATATATACAATATGTATACGTTTACTCTAATATACCCTATTTTAATATATATATTATATATATAAAAAATTAGAATATATATATATATACATACATATTAAAAAGATCTTTTATTTTATAGTAATTATATCATATATATATATATATATATATATATATATATATGTACACATCAACATATAATTAAATTTTGTATATATCTTATATATATATATGCATATCTTTCTATGGAGCAAAAAAGGAATTTGAAATGAAAAGGAAAAAAAAAGGAGAAACATTTGGCAAAAGAGAAGAAAAAAGAAGGAAAAAAAAAGAAAAAGGAAGATTAGAAAAAAGATCGATTGCTAAAGCCTCGATCGCAAATACTCGGACGTAATTAAAAACGCATAATGAGCTGCATATAAACGAGCGAACGTTAATTGGGTTAAATAATCGGAGCGGACGAAAGCCTGTTCATTGACGCGAAGTGGAGTGTTACGTTTTCTAATGGTACAACACACAACATCATCAACATTTGAGGTAAGGCAATGCATCACGACATATCGTGTCACTGCACCCTCGTTATTCGTTATAAAAAATAAACCTTCCATTTTCAATGAACGAGTTTCTAGAACAAGTCGTATATAATTAATATTTTAATTTCTAAACGATTTCTAAAAAATTCTCTAATTTTTCTTTCATTAGTAAAGAAGATCTTTTAGATTTCTAGGATAATTTGTTGCATCACCATTGCATGAAACATTAAATAAAACACATGTTAACGATAGGATACATTAGCGAATAAATTAACATGAATCGATGTAATTATCGTCTCAGCCTCTCAATTGCTAAGTTTTAATTTTTTTTTTTTTTTGTTTTTTTTTGTTTTTTTTTTTGTTTTTTTTTAATAATTCTTTGTTTTATTTATTATTATTATTATTATTATTATTATTATTATTATTATTATTATTATTTTCTTTTTGTATCAAATATTTATAGAAGAAAAAAATAAAAAGTATAAAAAAAACCTATGAGAATTATACGTTAAATATACGAATAATTCTTATTCAGTTTAAATATTGTAGACTCATCGCAGATTCTTGATTAGATTAGATTCTGACTTTGTTAAATAATCAAGTATCTCAGATTTCTAATTAATAAAATTTTCTTTTCAAATATTTACAAAAAAAAAAAAAAAAAAAAAAGAAAGAAAAAGAAAATGAAATCAATATTGTAATAATAGGCGAATTATATGTTAAAAATACACATAACTTGTTTAATTATCATTCAATTTTAATATTTTCAATTAATAAAATTTTTCTTTTTAAATATATAAAAAAGGAAAAGCATCAAAATGTTCCAATATTTACGCAAAAAAATACAGATGACTGTTATTCGCTGTAAGCTCGTTTTAAACTCGTTTGCAAATCCCTGATTAGATTAGATTCTGAACTCAATTGGATGATCAAAGTATTCTTGCGTTTCCAATTGATAAAATTTTTCTCTTTTATTTTTCGTTTAATTAAAAAAGAAAAAAAAAGGGAAAGAAAGAAAGAAATTTACAAAAAAAAGAAAAATATATATATATAAATTTGTAATACTCGTACGAATTATACATTGGAAATACGTGAATACAACTTATTCACTGTAAATATGATAAAACACTCGAACGTAATCGCTTAGGTTGAAGTCCATATTTAACAATAACTTTCCTATTAATCTCTTCCTCTTTTCTCTTTCATCAGCTAATATAATATTAATAATAATAATAATAATAATAATAATAATAATAATAATAATAATAATAATAAATTAATTCTTATTTATTTAAACATTGGAAGAAAACAGAATTAACAACAATTTAATACAAATTTGACGGAATTCGTTCAAAGGAGTGCCGCCGACACGAGCCATATTACGTAATTCGAAACTGCCGCGTAACGCTTCATCGCGAATCGTTCGAATGGTTTGCAGATAGGGAAAGAACGAGGTTATTTGGAAAAAAAAACAAAAAAGAAAAGAATATGGGGTAGAGAACGAGGGAGGAGAACGAAAAAAAAAAAAAAAGAAGCAGAAAAAGAAACAAAACGAACGGAAGAAACATAACGAGCCGTGAAATCGAGACACGCGCCATTTTCATTAAAACCCTCTGCGAATAATTTTGATGGTAAAATTAAAAAAAAAAAAAAAAAAAAAAAAAAAGAAAGAAAGAGAGAGAGAGAGAGAGAGAGAGAGAGAAACAAGGAAAAAATAAATAAATAAATCAAACTCCTGAAGGAAGTTATACGTATGTATATGTCGATAGGATATAAATAAATCTGATTTAATTCCAATGAAATTTTTCGATATTATATTTTATACGATTTTTCGAACGTATTAAATGATCTAATTATTCATGTAAAAAATTAATATGAATAATCGACGTGGCAACGATTATATATATATATGTATATATAAAGTATCTCCTAATGAGATTCTAAGAAACGAATCGAGAATAATAATTTCTAAAACTAGTCTCAGAAGTTAGTCTGGATTTCGTGCATCTTTCCAGAGCGTACGAATCGTTTCGTAAGAATCTGGAGGAGATTCCACAAGGTTTCAAGGTCGAGTATGTACGTTACGGGAATGGAAGTGTGTGTATTTATATATGGTATGAGTGGGTGAGTAATATATAAATGTGTGTGTGTGTGTGTGCGAGAGAGAGAGAGAGAGAGAGAGAGAGAGAGAGAGAGTAAGAAAGAAAGGAAGAAAGAAGCGAAACCGAGACGAAAATAACACGTTGAATCCCGTCAAAGTTTCAGCTGCCTCTACGACCCTTCTTATCTTTCTCGTGAGTATTCGACTATCCTCGTAAATTTCTTCGGCTTCTCACTGCTGCTACTGCTGCTGTATGCGCGCGCTTCAGAGAAAGAAAGAAAGAGACAGACAGAGAGAGATAGAGAGAGAGAGAGATAGAGAGAGAGAGAGAATGATATAGAAACGTTTCGAAAAGATCGTTTCAGAGCACACGAGCAAGGAAACATAACCTCAACGACTTTAGCCGATCTTCTCCAGAATTCAAAATAAATTCTAATCCATATATATATATACACACAATACATACACACACATATATACATATACATATGAAGGAGAAGAAAAAAATAGGTTCGTCATTTATTGTTTTCTTTTTTCAACTGTTCTTTTTTCGTCTATTCATTTGTATATATAAATACGTATTAAAGTACACATGTGTATATGTATTATAATATACATACATGTATGTAAAGTGAAAATTCGAAGGAAAAATAACGAGTATTTCATTCTGGGAGTGCGTTTGCGCAGCATCTCTTCGAGTTATCGTTCACGAGGACACGAGAACTGACCTATTCTCGCACACATATTCAAAGCACTCCTACTACTGTTTTACACCGTTGGTATATCACTCACTTTCGCGAGTAAATCGATACCACATAAACGCACACACGCACGCACGCACGCATAAATTGATTTCGTCTTCATCTCTTCTGTTTCTTTTTTTTTTCTTTCTTTCTCATCTCTTCCTTTTCATTTGGAAACGTTGACGATTTCGATTAAGCATACAACACTCCATGTTTATCAATCTCATTGTCCCTTGAACGTATAGATTTGAAATAGAAGAAAACATTAGGTTCTTAGAAGTCGATAAAAAAAAAAGAAACAAAACAAAATACGATCGTATAACACGACGACGAGGACGACGACGACGACGACGACGACGAGAATATGATAATGAAAATGATTAGGAATTTTTTTCCTTCCTGTATTTCCTTGAACGTTCTCGTTAAATCAATCAATCGATCATTTCGATTCTTAATATTATCAGAAAATTATTTTACGTAGGAATAATCGTTAATTATATTTCTACCTTTCTCGATATTCGTTTGTTTTGTGATAATCCTTTTATCGTTTCATATATATATATTTCGTATATACATATATATATATATATACACATATGTATATATAAATATATTTAGACTTATGTACGTACATATGTACGCACATAAATTAGATATATTTTTTCCGCACACACTTTGTACCTTTATATTTCACAAAATGTTCGTTGATGACACTTCACTCACTTAAAAAGATACGTATAAAAGGATAAAGGAGATTGGGGGTTGGGAGGGGATGCCGGAGTAGCGACGGGATAATGTGTGGAGAAAAAAAACAAACTAAAAATTCAAGAAATCCGAAATACACAACGATTAGGTGCGATACGTTTTTCTTTAATTTATATTGAAAAATAAAATAAGAAAGGTACGTTCGAACCGGAGCCGAGGCACGAACAACAACATTCGCACCCGGTCGGTGGCGGAAGTGTGACTGAACCATCGGCACAGTGAACACCGCGAACGAGCGAGAGCTACGATACGATGATAGAGGGGAGACACTTAACCGAGGGGAGCCGAGGGGAGCCGAGAAGCTCCGAGTAATGCCGCGGTTCGCGTTCGCTAGCTGCTCCGTGATTGGTCGAACGCGACGCGCCCGGCAACCTCCTCTCTCGCGTTGAGAGCGTTGAACGTGCATACCACACGTACGTATGTTGTACGAATGAACCCGCCCGTATCCTCTCTCTCTCTCTTTCTCTCTCTCTCTATCACTCTCTCTCTTTTTCTCTCTTTCTTTCTCTCTCCATCTCATTCTTGTCGCATCCGCAGTAGTGATTCAACTTTTTTCTTTCACTTTGGGTCACACTATGAATTCGATCATCATTATCGATTCGAAAGTAAAACGATTCGAAATTCAAATATATATCAAAATCAATTCTATTCAAATACGTTATGACCTTCATTAATTTAGAAATGATAGAATACGAGAAATAAATTCAATTTGTATATTAACAAGTATATATATGTATATATATATATGTATGTATTAAGAAAGTCGATAAATACGTATAGGTTATGTCTGTAAAAAATATTTCATTATTTATTTGATAATTAATTTTTCTTCATTGGTTTGTTAGTATTTTGTAAAATTAATGGTCCAACAAATACACACACACACACACACACACACACATATTGTGGTCAGTATAAATGATTAAGTTTTAAGGGTTGCGTCCAGATAGATGTTCATTAAATATTTATTATAAATATTTATTAATATTTATTATTATATTTGTTAAAATATTGAAAGTTTTTCCATTAATTGATGATAACTGATATTTCATAATAAAATATTGATCCAATAAATACCAAAGAAAGAAATCGTTTGCCTGTAAAGACTGTAAAGAAATCGTTTAAGCTTGTAAAAAAGATCATTTACAAGATACAATTTATGAGTTGGTTATTAAAGAGAGACGAATTTGAAAAAAAAAAAGAAAAAAGAAAAGAAAATATTTGTAAATTGCAAACGATGCCGGAGAAAGAGAGGAAGTTCCAAAGAACATGTAGATTCTTTTACATGTGTATATTTACTTACATACATACATACATAGAGCACAACGTCAATGCGGAAATGGATCGAGTGAAAAACGTTATTGGAAGATGCGAAGAGATTGCACGTTCCTTTTGATTTTATACATAATTATTTATTCCGAACTATAATCAAAACTAACGACATTATGGTACTCGACCATTACAGATTTTGCTTCACATCGGATTCAATCCTTTTTTGTAAATCAAATCAAATCAAATCAACAATTCGAAAAAAAAATATATATATATATAAATAACTTAATATTTCGAAAAAAAAATTAATAATTCGAAATATCGCGCTTATCAAAATTGATCGAGTATCTATACGAGTGTTTCGATCTACGCGAGTTTCAATTTTGTTTCGACCACAAATCGCACATTTATATTACAGAAAATTACCCTTTCACATAAATTGTAAGAATTCCAGACAACTCAAATGTCTGCTATAACTGATCCCTGTTCGGAGATTACTTGTTTATGCAAAAAAATTATAATTTGCCCAGATCTTATTTTATTACAGGAGAAACTTTGAACGTAACATCGAATCTTATAATAAATTACAATTGATTATTTTCAGCATCAATGTTAAATACTTTGAGAATGCATCAAAATCAAACGCATACGATTGTTATTTAAAATCGTGACTAAGTATAACAATGCATTTCCAAAGTTTCAACTAAATCACGATCTTGTATCAGTGAGTGCATATGATGTACGTATATAAAAAAAAAAAAAAAAAAAATTATTATTTAATTTCGTTAAAGTTCGATTATATTTTTTATTATAAAATCTAAAGAATCACGATTTTGTTGAAATATTTGATTTGTAATATCCAATTGAAATTTGATTTGAAAAATATTGAATATCCAATGGATTAACTTATATAATACGAATGATAATATGAACGAGATGAGTGAGGCCAATTATTATTGTTGTGAAGTTTGAGAGTATGAGAGAAGGCACATCCATCCCTCACTCCTATTTCTTTCTACTACGAACTCGCGGAATGCAATAACGCGAGTTACTTTCGATCCGTTACATGGTGGCCCCTATGTGAGAAAGCCGTGCTCTTTGTATCAAAACCGGCAAACTTTTTCAATGGAGAACCATCATTCTCACGACGATGCTTAATACCCGTGGGTAAAGTGTGTGCGTATATATATATATATCTATATATATTCATTGTTCATATGTATATTCCTTAAATAACGAAAGGAAAATGGCGTCGATCGTAGGATCTAATTAAGTATCAAATTATACGGATTATGACACTGCTTTTGATTTCCTATTTTTTTTTTCTTTTTTTTTTTTCTTTCTTTCTTTATACATGGAAGAACATGGCCGTCAACGGTCATTAACTTAACACTTAACAGAGAATATAAGAGTATTAAAAATTATCTCTATATAGATGTAGTGATGGTTATTAAATATTCATACACAGTAAAAATTACGGAAATACATTTCTATCGTACGAATATTTCAAATCGTGACTTAATAATGTACATGTATATACATATCTATGTATATTGTATAAGAGGATGTTTGTTGGTAATGCAAAAAAAAAAAAAAAAAAGAAAAAAAAAAAGAAAAAAAAAAGGAAAAGAAAAAAAAAGAAAAATAAAGTAAATGAAAAGGAAATAAAAAGATATAAAAACAAAATAAATAAACAAATAAAAAATTATGTTTACTCGACGATAATCGTATTTAGTTACAAAAACGTGAAAAAAAAAGAAAAGAAAAAAGAAATTGGCAATTTGATCGTACACTTCGATCGATTATAGAACATTTATGATCGAACATGATTAATATTGGGTCGGCCAATAATAAATCTTAAGAAAAAAAAAAAAAAAGAAAAAAAAAGAAAAGAAAAGAAAATAATTAAAAAAGAAAAATCCAAAGCAAAAAATGAAAATAAAAAGAACAACATTTTCTAATAAAATAATTTTACGATAAAAAAAAAAAAAGAAAATACTAACATTCTTTAATTTCATATAAAATAATGAATATTCCATCATTGTTCATCGATGAATCCAATATTTTCGTTGTTCATTTACTCTCCTATCAAAAATAGATAGAAAGCCCTGATTAAAGTACTAAGTGTTTAAAAAGGTACTGTCTTCGTTTTCCAAAATAAGAGACACAAAATGATGATAGGTTCAATCATTCAAATGAAATATAAAAATGATCTGTAGTTAGACAGATACATACATATGTTCATATTTACCTAGAATTACGTAGATTACGTAGAAGTATACAAGAAATAAATCTTATCAAAAAAAAAAAAAAAAAAAAAAAAAAAAAAAAAAAAAAAAACACGATAAAATTGCATTTAATCGTAACAATGTTAAGTAAGGTTAGCCTTGAATCAAATTGCACGTTTATTATCGACCATAAATGTCACCTCTCTTTCTTTCTCTCTCTCTCTCTCTCTCTCTCTCTCTCTCTCTCTCTCTCTCTCTCTCTCTCTCTCTCTCTCTCTCTCTCTCTCTCTCTCTCTCTCTCTCTCTCTCTCTCTCTCCCCTTCCTCCATAAGAACAAACTTTCGAATCTAATTACGTATAAGACATTTTCTTCCCTAGACTTTTTACCGTTAACAAACCTAGCCTGAGGGGCTTGGTAAATACAACAGTTGTGCATGTGATATTAAAATTAGATTTGACTTACTGTTAAATGTAGATTACCGTGGAAACGGGATTGGAAGGAAAGATAAAAAAGTAGAAGATGAAAAAGGAAAAGAAAAGGAAAAAAGAAGAACGAAAAAAAAAAGAACCTAAAAGAGAAGGACAGAGATAGATGGATGGATAGATAGATAGAGAGAGAGAGAGAGAGAGAGGGAGAGAGAGGGAGAGAGAGGAAGAGAGAGAGAGAGAGAGAGATGACAGCCAGTCCCGGTTGATGTTTACGATGCTACGTTTAACTCTTTTCTTCCCAATGTAAAACGGTTCTATGAATGGGGAAAGTCACGTGTGAGAGAGATGAAAAAGAAAACGAGAGCGAGGGGGTGCTGGTAAAGGGGATGGGGGAGGGGGCTGTTGGTGAAGATGGTAACGGTGACGAGGGAACAACAAGGAAGGAGGGAGGGAGGAAACGGAGATAATAAGCAAGCCGTGTGAAAAATGTCTCTAGGAAATGTTTGTTTTGTTCTCTCGTCCTCCATTATTAACGATGCGGCAAGTTGGTTGGTTGGTTAGTTAGTTAGTTAGTTAGTTAGTTAGTTAGTTAGTTAGTTAGTTAGTTAGTTTGTCAGTCAGTTAGTTTCACCGTTTTGTCAGTCTCCTCCTATCGAGTGGGAGAAAGAAAGAGACAGAAAGAAAGAGAGAGAGAGAGAGAGAGAGAGAGAGAGAGAGAGAGAGAGAGAGAGAGAGAGAGAGAGAGAGAGAGAGAAGAAAAAAAGGAAAGGTGAAAGGTCACGTGTGAATGCTAAAAAGGGAAATTTCGTCGCACAGTCTAATTTACCCCCTTCCCATCATCCTCCATCACCACCATCACCATCACCATCACCACCATCTTCCTGCTATCTACCTCATTACTATCTTCATCGTCGACATCATCACGCCCAGTTACACCCCATTACGTATTCTAAGAGAAAAAGAAAAAGATAGGAAAGAAAGGGGAAAGAAAAGGAAAAAAAAAAAAAGAAAAAAGAAGAGGAACGGAAGGAAAAAACGATTCGAGGAAAGTGTTGGATCTTTCCCGTTGTGAGAGTTAGGAGACATTTTTACGATTTCTTACGATCTTCACTTCCTTTCTTCCTTCTTTCTTTCTTCTTTGTTTTTTTTTTTTTTATGGTTTATATTCTTGTTTTTTTTTCTCTTGCTTTTTCTCTCTTTTTTCTTTTCTTTTCTTTTCTTTCCTTTTACTGTCTCTCTTCCCTTTTACTGCGCCTACTATTTCATTCTACGATATCGAACAAAGTGAAGGTAGTCTTTACATAGTGAACGCTTAAAAATATGTTTAGAGATCGAAGTAAAAGTATATGATATATAGAACGTATTAACATTAGAAAATTACTTAGAAGATGTTACGTTGATCTTCTGTTATCTAGATTTTTATAATACTTTAAGATCTATTGAGTTTCAAAAATAAATGAAATCAGATAAGACGAGAGTTATTTGTTGAATGCGGACGTTTATCAGAAGAGAATGAATGATGATGCAGCAAATGTAATTAGTATATAATGCGTCTCACTTTCTATGTTCTTAAAAAGACGATATTGTGCATTTAACTTTGTTTTGAGAATTTATTAAAAAAAAAAAAAAAAAAAAAAAAAAAAAAAATCGCAAAATTTTCCATACGTACGTATCTTAGCGAATAATATTAATTCATGAAAACAAATGGTACCTTAAAATAACGATTGAAATAATTTATATTTTATGTTGGATCGACGATGAACATATTTGTGCTTTTAAGAAGACGAGATCATATATTGTTATTTTTTTCTTTGGTGTTAAAAAATTTAAAAACAAAAAGAAAAAAAAAAGAAAAAGAATTGCAAATTTTAGGAGACGAAGTTAATTCACGAACAAACTTTTGCTTCAGAATAATGTGATAATTTATGCATTACGTCGATCAAGGATTAAATATTTTATTATAAAGCCAACATTGGTGCTATAATGAGCATTCCAATTTAATCATTCGATAAGTTATTAAAATCGATAAATCTAATTTTTATTATAATACTTTTCCTTTATAAAATTGTAATAAGATAAAAGTAAGAAAAAAAAAAGAAAGAAAAAAAGAAATATAGAAAGAAAGATAATTTCGCATTTGACAAAAATGATATAACTCGATAGAAATTTTGATTATGTTCTTTCTTAATGTATGCGATGGAATCGATGAAAAATTTTGCACGGTCATGAGGTCGAACAAGTGGACCGAGATACTTTCTAATTCGTTGATCTCGAACGAGATGAACTCTCTTACTGAATGACCTTTGAACCGAGTAACCTGAATGTTTCGTTTTATGTACTTGCATACATACGTACGTATGTAAGTATATATGTGTATATATGTGTGTCCGTAACCCCATCAACGTATTAATATTCTATCTGGAACTATTCTCAAGAATAGAAACATTGAAAATTTAAATAACGAACCATTTAGTCGATCGATGAAGATCTTATCATTTTAACTTCAATTCACGGATCCCTCGAACGTATTGTGTATTGTTTTAACAAAGTGGAAAGACAACGAGGAGAAACTTTCTTTTTTCTTTTCTTTTTCTTTTCTTTTTTTTTTTTTTTTTTTTTTTCTTTCTTTCTTTCTTTTACTAAGCATGTACGTATGTGTATATTTGTATATACGTACGTATATTTCTGTATGTATGTTTGTTTATATATACATGTATGTATATAGTGCGTCATTGTTCAAAAATAAAAACTGTTTTTTTAGAATCATTAATACACAAACATATAAGGATGTATTTTTCCAGAGAGATATCGTTTAGCTATCGCGAATTCTTGAACAGATCGATTTTATCTTCTAATCGGATTTTTGTTAAATATATATATTTTTTTGTTTTTAATTATTTTATCTGATATATATATATATATATTTGTTTTTAATTATTTTATCTGACATATATATACACGTGTGTATATATATATATATATACTATAAACATTTTTTAAAAATTATTTTCTTAGATATATATACACGTTTTTAATTATTTCTCAATCTATATCATTTATATATTATATTTCTGATAATTCTTTGCGTTTTTTTTTTCTTCTTTTCTTTTTGTTTGTTCGTTCATAATCATTATCTTAAATGTGTGAAAAGAAAAGCATAAATATTTTTCTTTTCTTTTCATTTTCATTGTTTCTTTTATTATACTTATTGCTCGATCGTTTAGATTTAATAATTATACGTAGAAAGTCACGAGAGTTGAAAGCTGTCGTTTAAATAGAAATATTCAATCTCTTCACGGTTGAAGAAATGCATTTCTTTTTGTTGGTATCGTGAAATCGATTAATATTCAATTAATCGATAATTTTAATTGAAAGAGCACTCTGGATTCTATTGACATTTATCTTGTTCTTTGTCCTTTTTTTTCCCTCCTTTTTTTTCTTTTTTCTTTTTTTTTTTTTTTCTAATTGAACTTTTCTCAAATATATTTTAAGATCGTAATGTATAATGTATTTACATACATACATTCAATCCTTTTATTTGAATTATTCAGTTTTGTGGATAAGAAGTGATTATTTGAAAAGGATGTAGATGAGAAATAGATGATAAGAAACGGATGATAAACGAGACACATAAAGAGAGAGAGAGAGAGAAAGAGAGAGAGAGAGAGAGAGAGAGAGAGAGAGAGAGAGAGAGAGAGAGAGAGAGAGAGAGAGAGAGAGAGAGAGAGATAGACAGCAATTTTCATGCGCCAATTAACAAATAGACTGGTAGTAGATACACATCTTGGTAAACTATTCTTCGTACATTTTCAAACGTCATAATATCAACGTAAGAGAGCAAATTATACAATTATATTGTATAAACGAGAATATTATTAGATAAATGATTTAAAATATCCTCGCGTTATAAATTAGATTATTATTTAATATACGAGTGTTTCTTAAAAAATTTAATATTCATTGAAAACTATATTGATTTTTATTAATTTTTTTGTTCTGCTTTTAATTAATACCTGCAGTTTTAATTTTTCATCTGATTTTATTTTAATAATTTTATTTTAATATTTTTTATATATCAATTTAATTATTTTCATCTTATATATATATATATTTATTTATTTATTTATTTATTTATTTATTTATTTATTTTATATTACTTCATTAATTTTTTTTTCCTTTTTTTTTTTTTTATTCATCAACATTGAATCGGTCAAGATATATCGTCGACGACAAGCAACCGGAAAGGGGAAAGGGGAATGAAAAAAAAGAAAGAAAATGTCGATACTAGTTTTACTCGTTACGATTTACCTTTCAAACGGAGAAACTCGTACTTGTCTCTTATAAGATTAGAAGAACGAACAGAATGCAGTGATAGTTTAAATTCCCGTTGAACTTTCTCAATGAAATATCTCAATGAAATTACGATGACGTATTATATTTCTCGACAATTAAATTTTCAATTCTCTTTCCCTTTTTCTTTATTTTTAATTATTTTATTTTTTTATTTTATTTTTCTTTTCTTTCTTTTTTTTTTTGTTTTTTTTTTTTGTTTTTTTCAAGCATTCAGTGATTGTTTATTATATCGAATTGTTTTCATTAATTCGAGAGAGCTTAGGCAAAAATATCGATAATCGAAAATGTGTCGTGTCGTAACAAAAATATCTTATTGTAAGCCGACCGAATACCTTGCTATCGAGAATGATGGATTATCCTGTTGTTAGTTAGCTTATACGAGTGCTCACGTGTATGTGTATACATTCTTTTATCGCATTAAATTGTTTTTTTTTTTATTTTTTTTTGTTTTTTTTTTTTTTTTTTTTGTTTTGTTTCTTCTTTTTTTTGAAGAATGCCTATATTATCATCACAAAAATTATATATATATATTTATATAATTTAGTACACATAATTATATATACATATATATATATATATATATACACATGAGCATAAATAGTGAAATTATTAAAAAATATTAATAAATCATAATTACGAATAATAATATTTATTTACGTATAATAAAAAAATACAAATTTCAATAATAATACTTGTTATAAGGATCGAAAGTTTCTTATCATTGCTAAAAGAATCTTATCTTTTCCCGTTAATCGAAAAGAAATAAGAAAGAAATAAGGAAAGATGGGAAAAAAAACATAATAATAAAAGACGAAAGATCGATAAAACAACGTCACGTAAACGATAAGAATCACTAGTAATTATAAGATAAGTATCTATCTTCGATCTAATATGATTTATTTTGATCGTATTAATTTGCGATATTCTACGCCTAAAATTTATTAATCGGACAAATTCATATTGTATATCATTTATTTCGAACTTTATAATCTTTATGACTGATCATCATTAAACATTTATGTATGTAGGTATGTGTTTGTATATATGTACACACACGCGCACACACACACACACACACACACACACACACACACACACACAATAAAATATTGTTTACATAAGGATTAATTTTTTTTTATAAAAATTCATTTTAAATAAATTTTACATATATATATATATAACATAGCCTCTTCTTTTAATTAATTTATTTTTTATCTAATTAACATGAAGTAAAGCAGAAAAAATATTCAAAAAAAAAAAAAATTAACAAAAGAAATAGTTGCGCACATTTCTTTTTAATTTATGTGTATCCTCATGACAATCCTAATTGAAAATTTTTAAATAAATAAAAATTGTACCTATATAAAAATTGTATCTATGTTGTTTTCAAATTCATTGCAAAAAAATGTTGTTTTTTATATATATATATATAGTTCCAGCCTCTTCGATCAACTCAATATTTGTTCTATTTTGCATGAAAAAAAAATACCAAAAGAAAAATATTAAAAAAAAAGAGAAAAACGAAAAAATCTGCATATATAAATGTTTTTTCAAATTGTGGATAAAATTATTGTTATTATTATTATTATTTTTTTTCTTTTACGATAATCGAGATTGGAATCTCATCGTTTGTACCTCTCTCCACTTCGTTCGAAATTTTCCTCTTCTCGTTAAGAGAAAATAAAAAAAGTAATATAAAAAAAGTAAATAAATAAATTGGATGTGAATAAATAATAATAATAATAATAACTATAATTAAAAAAATAATAATAAATAAATTTGTACTCACGAAAGTAGTTGAGCGTTTCCCGGATTTGTTCCGGCGACAGTTTCAAATCGACGTCCTCAGTTTTTAGCGCCGGCGATGGAATGAACCAATCCGCGTTCTCGTAACCTAAAAAAAAGAAAAATGATTAAAATAATTAAAAGTCATTTAATTACCGAGACTCTTTCTGCTTCAATGCTGTTTCTCGATTATGTTTATAAACACATAGGAAAAGAAGAAGAAGTAGAAAAAAAAAGATTGCATTCATGCTTATTCATGTAGTATTTCATAAACAAATGAATGAATCTATCGTTTTAGCTGGAGCACAACGACAATATGGCCGCCACTTTCTTACGACGTCAAAAGTAACCTCTTTTTCCTTTTCGTTTTTTTTTTTTTACCATGTGAACTATCTTTTTTTATTTCATTAATTTGTTATTTTATAAAAGTATAAATAGGTACGAATGTTTAAAAATTTTTTGTATTTTTCCATTTTTATTTATATCTTTTCAATCTTTTTTTACTTTTTCGTGTCTTTTAATTAAAAATGACAAAATGGCCGCTTTCACACGGCAAGAAGTAACTTCCGACGAATATATAATAATTTCTATATTATATCATTTGTTATAATTTTTTTGTGACAAATTCATCATAATTTTTGTTTTTTTTTTAAGAGTTAATTTCATTTATTTTATCTTTCCTTTTGTTTCGTTGAAGTTTGTTCTTTATAAATGAAAAAAAGAAGACGACTTTTAACGACAGGAAGTGACTTTCTACGAACACATAATTTTTTTATTTATTCGTTTTTTTCTATTATATTATTATTATTATTATTATTATTATTATTGTTAAACTTTAATAAATGCGCCTAAGTCATTGAAAATAATTTATTTCTTGTCATTTTTTGGTTCTTTTTTCTTAGTTCTTTTTTTTTTTTTTTTTTTTTTTTTTTTTTTTTTTTTTTTTTGTTAAATTTTTCGTATTTTTAATTAAGAAATACACGAAAGAGAAAGGTGCGGTCCAATATCCTATCCTGTTATAAAGCTTCATTTTATTAGTTCGATACGCGATACGATCTCATAGTTTACTATAGAAGCAAACGATTAGTCACGCTTGTCTCATGGTGTCCCATATATCCGGGCCATACAATCTAATTAGTTAGGCGACTCGTAATTCGATCGGTGTTGGCACCTGGTGAAGGATAATATGGTTGCTTTGGTTCATTGAAGATAAAAAAAAAAGATAAAAAAGAAAAAAAAAAGAACCGAAAAAAATAAAATAAACAAACAAAAAAAATGAAAATAATACCAAGCAATATCTCGATCGAATAAATTAAAGTATTATTTAAAAAAATTGTGCAAAAATTTCATCTAATTTTTAACAATAAAATATCTTAAATACATGTTTGTATATATGTATACAGGGTGAATCATTTAAAGTGTTATAAGTTGAAACCATTAAATATAGGAATTTGAATATTTTTTATATGTTTCTATATATATATATATATATATATATATTTACTTAATACATATATATATACATATATATATATATATATATGGATTAAGTAAAATAAAAAAAGAATTTAATATTATTTTTTTCAAAATAATTTTTTTCCACGACATAATATTCCTATATATAGTATTATACTAATATATTATATACGAAGTTTATTATTGTCGTATAAATATTATCATCGAAATATATCTCTGAACATATCAAATACAGAGAGATTTAAATATGATTAAGATTAGTGGAGATAATAAAAGAAAAAAAAAAAAAAATAAATAAATAAAAGTAAGAAAGAAAGCAAGCAAAAAAGAAAGAAGAAGAAGAAAGAAAAAAGGAAAAAAAAAATTATTGCTTGTAAAGCAGAAAAATAATGAATACAAATTATAGTGATCGACAAAGCTCCCGACTCTTTCATTAATCTTCAACGACGCCTATCCAATTTATGTTTTAATTATATCATGAAGATAACGACCTTTGTTGTTAAGACACCGAGAAATATAGATAATAATCCAGAGGGCTGAAAATTAACTTCTAGGATATAGAAATTGGGAAAATTTTCTTATTCTTTGTTCAGTTCATTTATTTTTTTTTTCTTTTCTTTTTTTTTTTTTTTTTTTTTTATCTGTGTCTTAAATTTTCTTCGTTTATTTATCGTCGTTAAAAAATTGGCCTTTGATAACACGCGCGTCCTTGAAGAGCTTAATACTCGAAGAGACCTTGCGAAACACGAACTCGTTTGTTTGACTGTTTGTGAACGAGACTGTGAGTCGACTTAAAAAAAGAAAAAAAAGGGAACGTAAAAAGTAAGAAAAAAAAAAGAAAAATGGAATATTTAAGATTTTCAAATCCTTTCTTAGTCTCTTCGTCAAAAGACTAAAAACGTGTTCTTATTACGAGAGTACCTCTTTGGACATTAAAAGCATGTGTAAAAGCAAACAGTCGTCATATACATATATTTCAGTGGGGAGTCTAGAGATCATGCTGAGATGGAAAATTTTTTACCTCGTCGCTAATTATTCTCGTATACAGGTTCTCGTAAATAAGAAAAAAAAAAAAAAAAAAAAAAAAAGAAAAAAGAAAGAAAAAAAACCTACGAAGTTCTGAGAAAGTCGTATCGAAAAAAAAAAATAATGTAAAGGAAGAAACAAAATGTTGATTGATATTAAAAGATTTCGATGATAAACATATTAAAATTCTTTTGGTTTTAATGCATCGAGAACTTTCACGAGAACGAGAAATCGAATTAAAAAAAAAATAAAAAAAAAATATATATATATATATATACAAATATTAATACTTCCTCAGATATTTCCATTGACAATTTTTTTCTGATTTTTTCCTTTTCTCATAACCATACGTTTTAAAAGATAATAGAAGAGATAAACTCGTAAAAAAAAAAACAAGAAAAGTAGAATTATATTTTAAATATAAAAAAAAAAAAAAAAAATATATATATATATATTTATATTTAACTTATTATTTATACTTATCGATTATTTAAAATACATTATATATCTACTGCAAATTTGTTTTTTTTTTTTTTTTTTTGAAAGAGTATATAAAAATCTAATATATATTATAGTTTATTGTATTTTTTATATTTTATACACTATATTAAATATACAAGCTATTATATTATGATATAACTATAATAAACTATAAACTCATAAATAAAAAAAAAAAGAAAAAAAAAAGAATAGAAAAGGTCTAATATTAAATTTTACATACAAATGATTGAAATATTTTTTTTTTTTTTTTTTTTTTTGTAAATAAGAATTAAATACAGTCGAAGAAAAGAAAGAAAGATATTGAAATAAAATAAAATGAAAGTTAATGCCTGTTTAGAGAGAAAAGTTCACTGATCTTGGAGTAGAGTGAAATCTATTCTTTTTTTTTTTTCTTTTTTTATTATTAATAAGAATTAAAAAAAGATAAACAAATAAACAAATAAATAAAAGAATAGAAAAAAATTTAACTAAAAGAAAAAATAAATCGGATGAAAGTTAATTCGTGCTGACATGAAGAAGTTCGCTAACCTTGAAATAGATCAATATCTATTCTC